AGGAATTTCTAGTGAAGATTCTAGCATCTTGCTTTTTCCCATATCATCAATGGTTTGGTCTTCAAAGAAGGTCACATCTCTACTTCTGAAAACTTTCTTCTCTGAAGGATCCCAAAGTCTGTTTCCAAAATCATCATTGCCATATTCCAAGAATACACACTGTTTTGATTTTCCATCAAGACTTGACTTTTCGTCTTTGGGAATATGAACAAAGGCACGACAACCAAAGACTCGCAAATGTCCACATGAGACATCTTTCCCTGTCCAAACTCACTGTCGTAGATCGCCGTCCAACGAAACTGAGGGAAATAGGTTGATCAAATCAACTGCTGTCTGCATGGCTTTACCCCAAAAAGATTTAGGCAGTTTTGCATTCGAGAGCATACACTTAACCTTTTCAGTAATTGTTTTTTTCATTCTTTCTGCCACGTCATTCTGTTGCGGAGTCTTCGGAACACTCTTCTGAAGTTTAATGCCATGGTCTCGGCAATACTTCTCAAACAGACCCCTCTATTCACCACCATTATCTGCTCGAACACATTTCAACTTTTTGCCAGTCTCCCTTTCAACTCTAAGGTGAAAGTCTTTGAACACATCTAATACCTGATCATTAGATTTCAAAGAGAAACACCAAACCTTTCGAGCATAGTCATCAATGAAAGTAACAAAGTACAATGCATCACCCAACGACCTATCTTTCATGTAACATACATCTGTATGAATTAACTCTAGAGGACTGGACTTTCTAGGTGAAGGAGAATTTTGAAAGTAAACCCTATGTTGTTTACTATAGATACAGTCAACACAAGGTTCTAGAGCAGTACCTTTCCCTCAGGGAGAAATTACTTCTTACCAAGAATCTGCAGTCCCTTGACACTTATGTGTGCAAGCCTTCTGTGCTAAAGATCAATGGAGGCATTATGAGTTGCATTCATCTCTCCATTCTTCAACTTTGGATTCAACACATACAAAGGGTTCAACTTCTTTCTTTTAGCAATAACAAGATTCCCTCTGGTAATTGTCCAATGGCCACCACCTTCAGTGCTATGATAACCCTCATCATCAAGTTTACCGACGAAAATAAAGTTCAGACGCATATCCAGAATATGTCTGACAATCTTCAAGACAAGAGTACAACCTGTATTTGTTACCAATGCTACCTCTCCCATGTCGACAACATCACATGAGGCTTGGTTGCACATTTTTAAACGAGCAAAATCTCCAGGTGTGTAAGAGGTGAAAAAGTGCCTATGAGGCGTCACATGATCGCACCAGAATCACCGAACCAATTACTGTCGTGACTTACAAAATTAATTGTATCATCATCACAGTACACAAATACATCACTGGTAGTTACTACTGCAGTGGTATCATCATCACTTGATTCATCTTTCTTGTTCTCTCTTAAGAACCCTGCACTCCTAATAAAGTGTCATTCCCTTGACAGTGGTAGCACACGATATCTTTCTTGAATTTAGATCGTCCCCTGGACTTATCGTTCCGATCACGTGGCCCTCTGCTTTTACTTCTCTCTCTTCTGTCTGACTTTTTGTCATAAGAGCCTGCGACTCAGACTCAGTACTCTGCTCTTTTCTTCTGACTCCTTCATTCATCAAAGCCTCTTTAACTTGATCCAAGGTCAAGACACCATCCTGGGTTGAATTACTGATTGACACTACCAAAGTGTCCCAACTATCTGAAAGAGAACTAAACAATAGTAAAGCCTGTACCTTATCATTCAACTTTAAACCTACATTCACTGCCTTGTTCAACAAACCTTGAAACGAACTCAAATGCTCATTCATGCAAGCACCATCTTTGTACCTCAACCTGGTAATCTGTTCAGCACAGATAACTTATTGATGCCGGAATTCTTCTAGTACATATTTTGGATTTTCTCCCAAAGTTCATCAGCTTTTATTTCTCTCGAAAGGTGATGAAACACACATAGATCAATCTACTGTCGAATATTACCAACAGTTTTCTTGTACATATCAGTCCACTTTTTATCAGTCATATCATTTGGTCTACCTTCATCCCTTAAAACAGAATCAAACAAATCTTTACAATATAAAAAGTCTTCTATTCTAGGCTTCCATATATAATAATTGGATGAAGTCAATTTAATCATCATACCAGCACCCGATGACTCTTCCATTTTATTGGTGTAACACCTCAACTAACAAACCGTAGCTCTGATGCTACTGTTGCGATGGAAAGGGTATAAACACAACAATCCAGCGACAACGATTCCCAAGAAACTCGTTTCCTACTACCAATAAAATAGGACAACCAACCAAGCCAACCAAACAAGTAAATAATTCAAGAACTAATAAAGTAATGTAGGGGCACAAATTTACTTGGAAAACCCAAATCGAGAAACAACACGAGACTGTAACAACAGTCAAATCTCTAGTATCACAATAATGGGAAAGCACTCTTCACCGATCAGTGGATACACAGGACTTCACCTAAAGGTGGATTACAACAATACTATTCCACAAACACCTATCACAAAATAGGATTAGAAGCATCTCACCATAACAGAGTTAAACCGAAAACTAGACTGGAGGAATTATAGATCTTTTCCGACTGGCTCGTGGAACAGCAACCGTGAAAACCGTGACAGTAGATATCGCAAAACTCAATGATGTTATTGCGTATCACGTCGTTGTCCAACATTATTAGTTTGCTAGCTAATTCGGTCAATTCATTGTTGATGGAATTTTTCCAAGTTCTGCTGAGCCTTTTAATTTTCAACGTGCATATAATTAATTATTATTTGCATGGTCTTCATCAAAAGGGATAATCTACTTTATTGTATCAGTGGTTGAGTACTTTCAGGAACTTTGTCATTTTTCCGCATTTCTTCACCTTAAATATTTGCTTGGTTAATTTGGCATTTATAGGGTACTTGCCTACTACCACAATTGGTACGCAAGAGATTTGTATCGAAGTGTTCCATTCCATCTATGACATGTTTACATTAAGAGTTTGCCTTCTTTGTTGCAATTAAAAGGGAAAAAAAAGAAAATTAATCACGATATCTTCTTTGTAAGAATAGGAGATTTGAAATTTTGAATTATATAAGATTAACTGTTCATGAATCCATCCAAATTTCCTGAGCGTCTGATTTTAAGAATTTCATGAAAGACCGTTTTGTTCTTTTTTGTTTTAATTTATTTGTTAGCTCTTGAAGACCCACAAGGCCACAACACAAATTCACTTGCCATATGTCATGATTCATTGCATTCAAGTTTGGATAGATACAAAAAAAAAAAAAAAATTAAAAGTAGAAAATGAACTCCGGATACTCCGGCCATAGAACGGCATGGTTGATGAATGATGGTTACATGAAACGTCAGAACTAACCATTTTAAGCATGGAGAAAAATGAAATCATCGCCTTTTTGGATGTCATTCAACAAACTACTCACCGGAAAACATTCACTCTAGTTCAAATAAATAGGGGTGACAGGAAAGCATAAATACTCCCGAAATACACAAAAAAATACATCTCCATCGAAATTCCTAGTATTTCAACATGGTGAGAATCGTGCTTCTTTGTTGCATTCTGGTACTGCCATTTCTAGCTCATGGCAGGAACTTTGATGTGCAAAAGATATCAGAAGAGCTACCGGAAGCCACGGCGGCTGCCAATCAAAGCAGGCCGGAGGCGGTGGAACGATGGTTCCGCAACCAAAAATTTCAAGTAACCATGCTTCATTTCTTTGTTCACGACAACGTAACCGCGGATCATCCTACGGCCTTATTAGTTGCCCCTGCCGGTTTAACTAACAAAGCCTCAACTACTTTTGGATCTACTTACGTACTCGATGACCCGGTGACTTTGACCCCCGATCCAAACTCTCAGATCATTGGTCGAGCTCAAGGCACGTTCAGTTTCGTGAGCCAAGCCGATCCGGCTTTGCATTTGTCGGTAACTATAGTGTTTACCGAAGGGATATATAAAGGTAGCACTCTCAGCATCCTTGGAAATAATCCAATCACCCAACCATATAGGGAGGTGCCGGTTGTGGGTGGTACCGGTGCTTTCCGGTTGGCTCGTGGGACGGCGACTATAAATACCGTTACAGTCGATATCGCAAAACTCAACGATATTCTGGAGTATCATGTAGTTGTCCAACCATTTTAGTTGGTTCTGTTTCATTGCTTATTGTTGAGTACTAGTATCATATGAAGCTTCTACATTGTCCATGCATAACTAATCTGCATGATTGATCGTCATGAAAAGGGATAATGCACTTTACTAAAACTTTTCTTTTATGATGATATTGAATAATTAACTTGATCAACTTTTTAGTTCCCTTATTCGTATATTTTCCCTATTCATTTTTGGCCTTCGTACATTTTGTGCAATTTCATGATCTCAGTATTCTAATATTCTAATATATGTATTATAACCAATCGGTTGCAAGAACTTATACTTGACCTGTAATAAGTAGCATCGAAATGAAATTGATTAATAGGAAAAGCAAAACGATTTGAACAATCTCAAAGTTCTTTTGGAGACGATCTAATTAACAATCTGATTAATTCTTTATTTAGAAATGTTGCCCTTAACAGAAAGGAAATCTAAGATCAGCAAGTGCATCACATAAGAATTTGATGCCATGAATAAGATCGGCTCGAAAAGGCATTGGCCCCTCGGCCCTTCCCAACATTAGAATTTCCAACCATTGAGCCCTTGGTGAACAGCAATTATATGAATTAAATAGGTTCTAACAGGCAACCATTGAAGACAAAATACAAAGGAAACAAATAATCCAATTCCATAAAAGGCGATAGACAATCCAAGAGTCGTAGATCAGCCAGGCAAAATCCATCAGCAAAAATCACATGAAGGAAATAGTAGAGTACAAAATGTTTAAACTTATTACCCTTCGTCCTACAATGATTCTCGTATTTATTAAACTATTTAATTTAACTAACAAGACAGTCATTTTAGAATGGAGTAGTACTGCATTTATTATATCCAATCTACTTATAGAACTCCATGACCCACAAGTTACAGACAAAACATTCCAACCTCATTCCTTTAAATCCAGCTCTCAAAGCCAATGTTAGGAATTCTTGCTCACTTCTCTCTTTTCCACCTGGGTTTCGGGTCATCATAATCAAATCGAATTGGCAAGAGGTTTTAACGGATGCACTGGTATCGGGAATCATTGGAAGAACTGCATCCACCACTATCACTTTTCCATTTGCTGGTAAAGCCTTATAACAATTCTTTAGCACTTTCAGACAATGTTCATCATCCCAATCATGAAGTATCCACTACAAATACCAGTAAGAAAAAATTATATTAACTTCCACCAAGCATTATTATATTCTTAAACCTTTTCACAAATTCAAGCTATAATGATTTAACATAGTAACGTACTATAGAAGAGGCTATTTCGACAATGAAACTTAAAAAATGTAGGTTACCTTCATGAACATAGCATCCGCATTTGGAACACTTTCAAACATATTTCCCGAAACATGAGTCACTCCTGCATGTATATTCACATGATTTAACAATTGGAGAGATAATTTGTTTTACACGAAGAAATGATACAGAACAATCATTTTACGATGGTATTTTGGGGCATGTTCTATAACTTGAGGCAAATCGAAATTAATACCCTTGACATTAGGATATTTGTTTGTTATAGCATTGATGGTAACTCCAAAACCGCCACCAACATCCACCAAAGATTCAAGGTCTGCAAAACCTTTGTAACTCTCAAGAATTCCGTCTACTACAAGAGTTGCATGGTTGGCCATGGCTTTGTTGAAGATCTCACCGAATTCGGGATCTTTCTTTAGAGAATCGAATGCGTGTGCACCATTCTGCAGCCTCTTAAATGGAACTCCTCCTTCAATAACTGCTTCTTCAAGCTCGAACCTAATTTTAATTTAAATTTTTTATAAAAAGAGCATTTTAATGATGTTGACTATTAGTAAATTAATTCAACAAAAATTATTAGTGTGTGAGACCGTGTTACGGAGGAAGCATGTAACTAGATATACATTTGACTATGGGAGAAAATACGGTTCCTCCTTCCTATGAGTTATTTGTTTATTATTTTCTGAAATTTCAAGTTTTTTCATTGTTTTAGAAAATGCAGGGAGATGAAACATAACTGTATTGGAAAAAAAAGTTAGAAAACCTATTAAAATGAGATCGTTCGACTAAGTTTTACTGTACCAATCTCTTTTTATATGTTATTGCCACTTGTGTGTCCGATATCACTATCTAACTTATTCGAAATCGGATAAATTTTTGTTTTCAGAAAACAAAATTCATCCATCATACATTTTCTATATTTTGAAATTTAGACTTTTTTTTACAAATTATACTAAAAGTTAAAATTTAATACGATAATTTATTGGAGCATAAAAAGTTTATATCTTTATTAATTTTGTATCCTCATTAGTCATTAGTCACTAATGAAGCCGTCATTTAACCTAGCGGAAATAGTACGTAGCAGTACAGGTTCAACTACAAGTCAAAGTAACCACGGCGCGACTAATTGGGCCTTTGATGACCCCAATTAGAGACTCCAATAAAAATTAAAAAGTCCCAAAAAAGAAAACGGATTTAAAAACAATTCTAGACCCATTGATCAAGTTACTGCAAAGCCAAGTGAGTCAAAACGTCATGCACTTGATCGTCAATATTATTTTATTCACCGCAAATAAGACTTTCGACCAACTCAATCTGGCAGCTCGACTTTTGTTGGTCGTTTACCATTACCGAAAAAATAGTCATTCATGTTTCTTACTCCTTGAATTTAATACGAATAGTATTCACTTTCTACAAAAATAATTGTCTCTTTCAGTTGTACTCGGCAAAGATTTTGGGGCGAACATGTAGCCAAAGATATAACTTATTCTAATACTCTCTCTGTTCCCAGAAAAATAATTCACGTAAAATTTTAAAATTTGTACTAAAAATAATACAAATATTCAAACTTAATATTGACTATTGTTTTAGACAGAATGAATACTAAATTAGTTCATCTGCAAATATACATTTCATTTTCTCAAACATGTTAAGGATCCGTTGTTCACTTTTACCATTTCAAATTAATTTGTCGTAATTTACTAATGCTAACCAGCCAATAATGGAGAACAAGATGAACGACTAACGAACTACTTTAACTTAAAAAAGCCACCAAAAAAAATTCAGAATTCCGATTAATTATAATAAAGAAATTTAATTCATCCTACTATAGTCTAGAATAGACAGGCAAAATCCTTGACCGGTAGAAAGCTTGCAATGGCGAGTGTTACTACCTTCGCAATGATAGTTCAATTTGTGAAACTAAAATTGACTTGGTAGTATCTAGAAAATTATGAATGTCCTTATAAAATTCAATAGATAATTTGATTTGAAATACATGACATTTATTATGTGGGAGATGGAGCAACATAAAATATTTAGTTGAGTTCTCTTTGGTTTGTATCCTAAAAAACATAATAATAAGTTTGAAATAAAAGATCCAACATTCAAATTCCGTTTTCGAAATTATTTTCACTTAAAATAATTCATGTCGTGGTGTTATTTTCGAAAGACCTATACTTTATTACATTCTCTCAAAACAAAGTCCCTTCATAACATTTTGTCTTGGTAATTTTTTAAAATCAAATTGCCTGATATTTTCCGGTCATAGCATTCATGAAGAAGACAGAATAAACTCAAGAAAAAAAAGGACAGTTTAGTTACCAGCTTTCAATGAAGTTTATATGTTGAATAAATTCCAGGAAAGGGCCCAACGAAACTCCCCGTTCATTCCGAACAAAATACTTCGCCACCGGAGCCAAGCCGTACACACTTTGTTCACGGCCATCAACGACCACGGACGAACAAGTGAGCACGGAATGGCTGGCCAGGAGGCGAAGCATCCGGTCAACCATACCCGCCGTACTCTCTTGATTTGTCGGTGTCGTCGGAGAAGACAACTTGGAAGCAATTTGTGAAGACGAGAGTTGTTCGCCAGCGGCTCCGGCAATAATCTCGAACAAGCCGAGCCGGACGGCGGCCTTCAACACCATTGGAAGTGACATGGAAGTTATCAGCATCATGGCATACGAGAAATGCTGGTCTTCTTCGAGTATTTGTGGGTCATAATTAATTTTCGCTAGGTTTTCCATTGAATATAGTTTGATATGTAAGATGAAAATGATTTAGTATGTTATTTGTAGATACATCGATCTCTTATTAATTCAAAAGAGTTAATATAGAAGATATATATATATATATATATATATATATATATTGATGGCTAATCTCATAAGCTGTCGTTTTTTCGACAAAAAATACTCAATTAATGTTTACTTTGTGGTCTTAGCTACCATGTTTTATTTAATATTTGAGGTTGAACGATTTTCATTACAACAATAACATTCAACTAATAAATGTTACCTTTGTGGCTTAGACTCTTAGTACCATGCATGAAAAAAGAATTTTTAATATTTGAACTTCGGACTAACAAGCTATTATACGTTATCAAGACAACGAAAACGCATTAGGGAGGGTTTGTGGGATAAAGCATGGTTATAATTAACTAGTTTTAGGCATCGTACCTCTTTTCCCATTTACCAAATATATATATATATATATATATATATATATATATATATATTTGATTGTTCTGTTCATTAGATTTCTTTCATGAATGTAAACACTTAACCAAGTCTATGAATCGAGCGCATAACTTGTACTCCTCCTGTTCGAACCGGGGTTTGAAACCAAACTTCTCCGCAGGAGGATAGATGGGGCGATTCGGGTGAGATCCAATGTAGATCCAACTTTCGATTCACTCGTGGGATCCGGGCGGTCCGGGGGGGACCACCGAGGCTCCCCTCTTCTCGAGAATCCATACATCCCTTAAAAGTAGAGTTTCGGGGCTTCGTAGTTCTGCAAGCTTTCTGGATATCCTTTCGTTAGCCTTTTGAATTCCGCTATCAGTGAATCCTAGTTGATCGAGAAACTCTCGTCCAAAGGAGGCTCATTGAGCCGGTCACCGATGGCTAACCTCACTCGTGCCATACGTGGGGTTCTTCAATGAGCGAAGAACAAGAAATGGATCCTCCCAGCCACCTGCCGAATACACATTTCCTTCCCCCACTTAATCTCCTTCACTCACAACAGAAGGCTTTGGCTCGACTGGGTCACTGATAGAACTCCCTTTTGAGGTAATAAGAGTGATTATTTTAACTAAGATCGGATACCCGCTTGAAGAAGACAAGAAGGAAGAGACCTCGAAGAAAGACAACTAGCCCCTCCCAGAAAAGAAGGGAGGATGAAGGGATCTTTCATTCCTAGGGCCTTTGGTGGCTTGCATCTATGGCATCTGGGAGGAGAGGAATAATAGAATATTCAGGAATCAGAGGAGAAATGTGGAGGGAGCATTCCAGGGAATCCAGCAAGTGGTCAGAACTAGACTCCAAGTATGCAAAAGCAGAAAACTGTCGGCTAGAGAGAGCGGGAATCAGACCCTCTGTAGTTCTCGGTACTTTTTTAGACAGTTCCTGGCGAGTGCTTTTGTGGCTACTTCTTCTTCCCCTATTGACTGCAAGAATTGTTGAATCCGTGGGTCTTGCTGCAGCTCTTCTGTTCTCCGGGTCTGGAATAAGCCCTGCGCTTGACTCGATCAGTTACCAGTAAAAAGGGATTTACCTAATGAAAACGCTTTTAACGCTGCCCAATACCCCGCTTTTTTCCAAATATTTTTACGAATACGCTTTTTTGATGTCGAAGTACGCTTTTTTGGAACTGCCATTTAAGATTTTTAAAAAGATTCCTTATTGGTATAGCTGGATGTGAAAGACTTGCTGCCGTTACTCTTCAGTTTTCTGTTGAGGTCTATCCTGTAGAGGTACTCAAATTGGATCAGTGATCGATTTCTAGGTTTCGTCGTAAACCTAATTGGTTACTTCCAATTACGTAAATCAATAGTTCAAACCGGTTTGTTATTCATCTATCATTATAGACGGCACGAAGAAAGCGAAAGTAAGAAGTAGATAAAAATAAAATGAAAAAAATGCAGCATCTGTAACATCTACCCATCTGGAATTTTAAACTGGCACAATTAGCCCTGAGATTCCTTGCGCGAGAAGCAGGAGGCAGTAAAGCGAAGCGGGCTTTCAAAACGGGTTACCGAACCTAGAGAACACGGGAGTTAGCGAACTGAAACATCTTAGTAGCTAAAGGAAGGGAAATCAACCGAGACCCCGTTAGTAGCGGCGAGCGAAAGCGGATTGGGGGTTTGAAGAAAAACAAACACGAAGCTTCGTTCCTCAGCAAAGTGTTTACTTCTTTTTCGCCAGGTTTCATTCGATTTTTTGTAGATTGGATGATGGAAAACCCAGCAAGTTACGGCGTCGCAGCTCTTGTCTTCTATCTTCACTACCAATTTCCTGTTGACTTGGTCGAGTATCTTCAGGCCTTTGAAAACTCTAGCAAATAAGGTTTACTGAACCCCCTGGAACTTGATGAGTCGATCCGCCTACACGTCTTGCTTTTACTGTTATATCGGGAATTACTCTAAGCCTTCAGGCAAGCAAGCGCAAAAGAAGCAAGCAAAGTAGAAGTAGAAGCTTTGCCAGAAGTAAGACGAGGAAGCAGAGCTGTCTACGAAGCGGTAGCTTCCCCCGACCGACTCAAGTACAACAGCAACAGCCGCGACCTACTTTAATTCAAAACAAAAGAAAGGCGAAGGTTTTGGCAACAAGCAAACGGCTTTCTATCATAGTTGCAATGGAGCGTCTGCACTAGGATCTTCTTTATTCTTATAGCTTCACTTCGCTAACTTAGCTTATTAGCCGTCACTCTATGACTTGTAGACACTGCCTCCCAAAGAGAGTAAGTACTTCTATCAACCACAGGCTCCCTAGGCTTGGTTTCTGGCTTTTTTGAAGTAGTATCCCATTCTGTATGCCTTCCTGCGGGATTTCCTATTCATCTTTTCATATCATATAGTCATATAAAGGGATATCTTTAAATCCTGGTCCAGTTGAGGTTGAAGGTGCGAAAGAAGTTTTTCAGGTACGTCTTATTTCTTCTTAGAACTTATTGATTTGACTCCATAAGTGGGACCAAGCGGGTTGCCGCCAGAAGCAGAACCCCGTATTTCTTCTAGAGAATCTCCTAATTGTTTTAGAGCAACTAGAAAGAGATTCTTGAACCGAAAGAATTCGGTTCGGATGTAGGATACCTATCCGTAAGTTTTCGCAACTCAATCGTGGATGATGGAATCATCAAAGATTTGACCTTTTCGAACTCATCGTAACTCACTAAAGACCCGGAAACAAAGAGAAGATGTGTACGAACGAGATATCCAGCAACAAGAAGAAGGAAAAGGGTTGAATAGAGGAACTCCCGAACATTTGGCATCGATGTGTCGATATCAATGGTGACTCATTATTTCGATGAATCCTTTCTTCGGACGAAGAAGATTATGTAAACACTTACTCGAAATCTCACTTATCGATTCCGTTGTGGAAGACACAAATTTTTCTGAATAATTCGCCACAACATACCCGATCCATGCATAATATCATGAAAAATGGATACCAATTTTGGATTGCTACTTAGTATCGGCAATAGGTCTGAAAAGTATCTAAAAATATCCAATTTAGATATTTGTACCCTGTCGAAGTAAGGAACCACGGCATATATGTTTGGAATAGATTCCATTTTGAGAGAGTTGAAAAAGCACTATCTCGTTGAAAAGTTCTATACAACTGACCTTTCTCGACGCATTTCTTTAGACAAAGACTGGCTTTAGAGCTGAGCCGCTTTCCTGCACTTAGTAGAGTCTTTGCTTTCCCCGAGTTTACGTTCTTGCTGGCGCAGCGACGAAGATCCGCTTCCCAGATAAACTACTGATCTAGCTCTTTCGCATCGAGGTCTTTCGTTCGAGTAAAGGAAGCGAAGAAAACGTAAGGGAAGCGAGTGGAGTAGTAGAAAGGAGTGGAAGGAGTTTAGGCCCCTTCTGAATTTACCTACCCGATCCTACTAGCCTGACTAGCGCATTGCTCTTAGATTCGTAGCTTTCCCTCTAGTCTAGCTCATAGCCAACTCTCATCCCCGGGTTACCCGCTCATAGTTCTTGCTTTACCCGCGCACTTCTTTCATCCGAGGGTAGAAGCCTTAGGGAGGAGTTGATTAACATTCCCATTTCTTGCGGCAACCACTGGAATATTACAGAACGATCTAAAGAGGGTCATAGCTTATTCAACTTGCAGTCAATTAGGCTATATGATCTTTGCTTGCGGCATCTCTAACTATTCGGTTAGCGTCTTTCACTTAATGAATCACGCCTTTTTCAAAGCATTACTATTCCTGAGTGCAGGTTCGGTGATTCATGCCATGTCGGACACTGAGTACTGAAATGGGTTCTTTACAACCAGGCCCTTCTTGCATGGGCTTGGGCTTGCTTTGATGATGGGGTAGGCTTGTTGTGCTTTTGCCCTTCTGTGGGCTTTCATCGAAACAGGCCCGAGTCTTCATTTGTAGGACTTTATTTGTGATGGTTCAAAGTTCACTCTAATCAATTGATCAACATTAGCTTAGCCAAAGGCTTACCGGCCCGACCCGCAGGTAACTAGGGCACTATTGGCCGATGGCTTTTCGTAACTCTTCTCGAACTGTATAGAAGAATTCAGGACTCCTGGCATTAAACGCTCTATCAAGAAAGCCCTCCTAACTCATGATGCATAACCGCCCGGATTCGGATAACATGAAGGTTTTGGTTTTATCGATCTTCCTTAAAAACAGGGGGGCATCAGTCTTTTCTTATAGCTTCACTTCCTTCGTTCCATAGGAACCGGCTTTTTCTAATGAATAAGATAGGACTGACTCGAAAAAGCACGTAATGCAAGAACGAGTAAGATATCTGCTCGCCGGCCAGACCGGATATAGAAAGAAGACGCCCTATTAATGAAGA